AAACAACAAAAAAAACCAAAAAAAACAAAAAAAAAAAAAAAAACCAAAAAAAAACAAAAAAAAAATATGTATGATCCGATCATAAATACCGAATATATCTAAGTCTCCATAATCCGCCACCTGATGTTCCAACCCATATACTTTTTATTTTATTACTTGTCTTAATTCTTGTTTTATTACTTTTTATAACTCGTTTTATTACTTGTTTTATTACTTGTAATACTTGTTTTATTGCTTGTTTTATTAGTTGTTCTATTACTGGTTTTTTTACTTGTTTTTTACTTGTTTTTTTACTTGATTTTTTACTTGTTTTTTTACTTGATTTTTTACTTGTTTTTTCACTTGTTTTTTTACTTGTTTTTTTTACTTGTTTTATTACTAGTTTTATTACTAGTTTTATTACTAGTTTTATTACTAGTTTTATTACTTGTTTTATCACTTCTTTAATTATCTATTTATCATTTTGATTATTCATTTCTTATTATGTCGAACTTTAAATGTTTCAAAATAAACTAGCTCGCATGCAGGCAATACAATGCCTTAGCGATTCACCAACGTTTACATTCAAATTTATACTGTGTTTGTACTTACTTATTTTAATCAAAATAGGTTTTTCCAATATCTCAATAATTCATAAAGAAGAGTTGAGTTTTCAGAGGTTTGCCATTAATAAAAATTCATAGATATACGCCACTGGTGTATTTTGGGTCAGTACCAATAGGAACACTGAAGCTTATAAAGACTTTTTAAAGGTTATTCGTTCCCATTTATCACACTTAGTCATAGAGAATGGTCAAATATCTTCATCCATATTGAATCTTTTGTCCCTCAAAGCACTGTTTTGGGCCGACTTTTGTTTCTGATATATACAGTAAATAATTGCACTATACATTTTTCTGATGACACTTTAATTTTTCGAGATTTTTATTTTCGTACCTTAAATCTTATAAAATAAATATTATTTAGCGCCTAATCTATATATTATTGTATCAAAGTCTAAATTATTATTAATAAAAAAATAAAAAAAAATAATATGTAAGTCAGATTTAAGTATGCCTGGAGAAATAATCCGTATGTAATTGAAACAAAAAACCTAGACCATTCCTTCTATCTATCTGAATTAGGGCGTGGTTTAAAGCCCACTTGTACTGAAGCTCTAGGCTTATTGTACCCTTCACAGATTCTATCCCATCAGATTAATTTTCTTGATGAATTCAAAAATATGTCTGATGGGCGCTTTCGCGATTTCTTCAGGTTCCGGATATTGAACCCCGAAGTACCATTCCCGTTCCCATTTAAGGTTCCGGCAGTAGCAAAGTATGTGAATAGGAGTTTCGTCCTCCTCTTCACATATTCTACATAGGAAGTCATCAGATATACCTAAGAGATTTAAGTGTCTTCTAAGGCCGCAGTATCCCGTAAGGAGTCCTATTACGGCCTTGAGTTCGCTTCTGCTAAGGTTTAGCAGTTGATGTTGTCTGCTCGTGGATGGCCCCTCTAAGAATCTTTTGGACTCTCTAAGTCCAGGAAGTTCCATCCAGAGCCTATGATGTTGTCTTTTTATTTGTTCCTTTAACACCCATTCAACATGTTGGTATGAGATACCACACGTGGGTTCTGGTCCAATTTTTTTTCGCTCCCTTACTTGCTAGGAGGTCTGCTTTCTCATTTCCAAACACTCCCTCATGTCTTGGCACCCATTCAAGGGTGACCTTGTTATGTTCTGCCAGGGCCTAGAGGGACTGTTGGCAATCAAATATTGATTTAGATTGTACTTCTACCCTTTTCAGTGCTTTAAGGGCTGCCTGACTGTCTGTCATGATAACGATCCTCTTATCTCTAAGAGAGTCATTTAGCATGATTTTGGCACAGGCATTTATTGCTGTTACTTTAGCCTGGAAAACTGTTGTCAGTGACCTCAGGTCCAAACTAATTGTCCTCCCTGAGTTCACATGGTAGATCCCAGCTCCTGTGATGTTTATCATTTTTGAACCGTCTTTATATGAGATAGACCATTCCTTAGATGAATCCTTAAGATTTGATGAACATGGTAAATTACAGGTTGATTCTTAGAGATAAATCTTCAAAAGAGTAACGTTATTAAAGCTTATTCATATGTAAACTTACTTATGGTACTCTTATGTACTACACGGGTGTGTCTGTTCTTCTCTTTTTTTTTTGCTTTCCTTGTTCTGCGGTCTGTGCTTAATGGATTTTTGTTTTCGCTTCTTCCAGTATCAAGCAATGATCAAGGTAGCGAATAAACCACCTCACCGTTCTCCCACTTAGTCCTTTCCTCAATAGGTCATCCCTTGCATATGGTTGTCCTAGCTTAAGTAGAGGAGGTTCTGGTCCTTTTTGCCAAAGAGCAGGATACATGCCACCCTCAGCCGGTGATTTGAAAGGGGATAAATATATTTATCATCCATTTCATTGCAGTTGGAAAGACAACTTCTGCCACATAGTTTTAGTCATCTTTCTTGGGTCGTGTTATAGATTTTCCTAGAAGGAAGGAGTTTAACTTACCTGTCCTACAGAATTCGACTGCTTGGCAACTCTTTCTGTAAAATAATCTTTAAAGTTGCCTTGGTAGAGTCCGTATAGGTGTCATCGGGTTTTTCTCTCGAGCCGTTTTCTTCCTCGGATCTTTGGCGATAATCTTGTGAAGTCTGGTACTTTAAGTTAAATTTGATAAAGTTTCTCCACGATTCTCGTTTGGCCTTTCTGATAACCATGCTGTACTCTGTAAGGATGCTTCCCATGCCCGGCTACCCAAATATTTACCGCGATCGGCCCGTAAGGATGCCTCCCATGGCTGGAAAGCCAAATATGGACCATATGCGGTTTCTACTTTTAAAGTACGTTAAATGATATTTTCCTCTTGGCTCAGAAGCAACTCCGACAACGGCAATCCGAGTACTTGGCTTCCCGTACATGTCGGTCTCAGGCCGAGCGAATGCAGACTATTTGTGGTTTACTGGGTAGCTTGATGTCAAACTTCTTTTAGTTTTTAGTCGATATCTGCTCCACCATTGAAATTCGGTTAGGTCTTTTCCTTTCTTTAGTGGGCGTAATCCTGATAGGCAGTCATAAGGGCATTTTGAATATGATTACTTACCACTTCAATTTCTGCGCTTTTCTTAATGGTTTAAATTACGTTTTTCAGCACCCACTGAAGGGACTTTTCGTATCTACTTCAGTTTATGCGTTTTGGGTCACAAAATTGAAGAGTGGGTACCCGATTCATCCTCATGTCAAATCTGATATGTCTGTGGTCAGAGAATAAAAGTCCAATGGATACCCTCCAATTAACAATTTTAGCACGCATAAACTGAGTAATGATTGTTATGTCTTTTACGGAGTGGTCCCACATGAGAGATTGAAGAAGTTCTATTGTTTTTAGTAACAGGCTCCATTCCATCAGATTTGGGGGCAGTGTGTTCTCGTCGTTTTGGTTTTCTAAACTTGTGAATTTCCATATAAGTCCTATTAGTAGCTAGGAAAGAAGAAATCGACCAACGCACAGCCCTGTATGCGATGGTAAGGCTAGATACCAAAGGTTGTCATCCGGTGCCTTCAGAAATCATCATACAAATTATACAAATCATATGCATTAAAACCTAACATAATTACATGGAAACCTACATATGCTTTCTGATTTCAAATCAATAAAGTAATATCATAATTTCGGGGTGGGTTTAATAATCTAAAATATGATATAAACTTTATTACAAATATAAGGATAGGCTTATTTCTTTGATTTCTTCCTCTGCCTGTATATACCGTCTTTGTCTGTATCTGCCGTCTATACCTGTGGGCTTGTCGCTATTGTCTTTGCCTGTCTGTGCCGTTTCTACCCTCTGCCATCTCTACCTATCTTTTTGTGTCTACGTCTCCACCTATCTTCTTGTGTCTACCATCTTTGCCTGCCTGCTTTTGTCTACCGTCTTTGCCTATCTCTGCCGTCTTTGTTTGTCTCTGCCATCTTTGCCTGTCTCTGCCGTCTCTACATGTCTGCTATCTACCTTTCTTTGCTATCTTGGCCTTGCGGCATCCCCTTTTCTCTTGTTTAAATATAACTTTCCTCTCACCTTTTTTGATAATGTTCTTTATTTAAATCCAACAGTTCATTTCTTCAATTTATACATTCCATCTGTATGTTCTAGCTTTAATTCGACATTCCATATATCCCCCTTCCTCCTTCTGACATCTTTATTCTCGCCGACAATTATTTTCTTTTTCATCAATGATGTCCATCAAACAAAAACATCCCTCCCAACTTACTATTACATTAATAAAATTTTCCATGCCCCATCCCGATATTGCTCTCTCTAATTTGAACTTTATGACGCTATCCTCCAGAAATTTCCATATCATTATGTAATATTACTGTACTATGTAGACAAAATATCTATCTACTCAATCGAATTGGTCTTCAAAAGACAACAAGAAATTCGAATGTCAAGTGTAACGTTTTTTACGCTTAATTGCACCGATTTGAATCAAATCGGAATACTTAATGGCTTTTACTTTCACCTGTAATTTTACTTTTTTAACTCTACTAAAAAATTAAATAACTGTTTCATTGTCGTTTTAAAATGCAAAAATAAATTAAGTAGTTTATTAAAAGGGAAAAGTTTTTAAAAGGGGAGAAAAAAAAATTCTATAGATTAAATTATTTTATAAAAAATCTTAAATGTAGAGTAGAGATTCGCTATATCAGGAGTAGAAAATGAAGTGAGTACGTATTTATTATTAAAATGCTTAACGTGTTAAAATCACAATTTTAAAACTATTGACGCTGTCTTCAACAACTAAAATTATTTGACACAAACAGATCTATTGTTCATTTAAATTAATGGTTTATAAGAAACTGCAAACAGTTTAGTTGATACAAACATAAGTATTACTTACATAACTAAAAACAGTCTTACATAAAGTTGGCGAATTTTAAAACGAAAACAAAACACCGAAAAAAGTATTAAAAATATTTTTGTTACTGTTGATGGCCTTGATGGCTTTGCCGTTGTTCTTCTGCTTTTCTGCGGACTTCTTGACATTCTTCGCATTGCAGTGCTTGTCCAACATGATTGTGTTCATGGTGCAATGAACACAATAATTTATCCACAATAATTTATCCACTTTGTTCATCACATTTTCCTTAATATCATATGTTTTATCTAAAGCTGGTTGTACTAAGGGTTCTACAATACCCCTAGTTCTTTTCACAGCTAATTCTGTTGCAGACTTTGCTCTCTGATAAGAAGGCCGTTTTAATAGCCAGGCTCTGTGTATGCCTTAGCCGATTCCGAGTAAGCCTTAGCCGGTTACATAGCAGGAGTGATGGTGCTTGAGACATAGCTGTAGGTAGAGTTGTAGATCTCTCCAGCTGGCAGTTTAACAGCAGGAACTTTATTTTCGACGTAATCTAATCCTGTACACAAAACGAAGTCGACTTTCTTAAAAGGACCTTCAAGATATTGAATTATTGGCGTCGCAATAGGTCTGCCCACTTGTACGGTCATGTTCATGGTATTTTCAGCTGTAGATAGGGTCCATTGCGTAATAAGATTGTAATCTTTTACTTTTTCGTAAATACTTTTAGCTGTTTTGATTGTAGAATCAACAACTAGCAATTTGGAAAATCTGTTGACGGATTCCATAAAAATGAGTCTGGATGGAACGTTTTGATTAATTTGATCGGCAGACATTTTTACAAATTAAAAACAAACACCTCTTTTGGACACAAATTTAAAACTTCTATTTATTTATGTTTATTTTAAAATAAGATTGTTTTTAAATAAACTATTTATTATTTTTCCAGATAAAATCCCGTCTACAAAAGGAACGCGAAAGGATCCACGAAGAAAATCTAAAACTCCAAAATCAGCTAAACAACGCGCTGAAGATTCAACAGAAACTCAAACACCACGCGGTGATGGTCAGTCACAAATTAAAACCAGGCAAATACCATAATAAACACCATCATTTCCCTCCACCGCACGTGCCCCCGCTCACGCCGCTAATGCCCCCGCCAATATCTCGGCCTTCAAAGTTCGAGGAGCCCCCTAAGTATTTCAGCGAATCACCACATTTGCAATACGGTGAAGCTGCAGCTCCAGTTGCTACGCAACAAGAGATTGGACAATCTGGACCCTTCGCTGAGCCACCATCAAACCATGTGGATAGCTCATCGCAGAGTGAGGAGTTGCCTCCAGGGGTAATTGGTGGTGGATTGCCGGCGAGTACAGTGGATGCTGTTAAACGTGAGTTGAGTTTATTATACAGGGGTAATAAATACATGAAGATGTTAAAGACTCTTCTTGAATGTACCATAATGTTATTTTGGAAAAATACCAATATTTCAGATGATAATTATAGTTCAAATAAAACAAACACCATTAAAGATGATGACCTATTTTTTTTTCAGCAGAGCTATATCCATTATAGATGAACAGCAGGTATTTACTGAACAGTGTGGGAGTCATATATATTATTTCGATATCCACTAAAAACGCGTATTGTTGTTTAGAGATGCCAAAACTATCCTATGATACGGTCGGCGAAACTTGAAAACTGTGTAACTCCATTTTGATAAATTTTATATGAGAGACAAAAAAACATTTTTTTAAACTGGTTACGCCGATTTTTGTTAAATTTGGAAAATAGGCACTATTTGGGTTAACTACTCATACCTAAAACTCTACGAGTCTTTTGTAGGTGTTTTAAATATTTTAATATACTTACACAAATTACCAAATCTTTTTGGAAATTTATTTTGGAGTTACCAGAATTGCTGTAAGTTTTGTAGGCGGATGCAGTGAGTTTTTATAAAAAAAAATAGATAACAAAATGGTAATATTTATTAAATCAAAAGTGAATAAAACTTGACGACTCAAAAGATGACGAGCTGTTCATTCATAAGTAATGTTTTCATAAAAAGCATTGTAATCATCTTCTAAGCCCATTTTCAACTGTTGCAGGTGATTAAACTTTCCTTTTCTAATTTTTCTTCGTGTTGTGTGCAAATTGGGTAACTCCTTACTCTTTGGAGCGTTGTGCCATGCGTTCATCTTCGAATTCAGTGGCTGCCATTCCTCAGAGTGTCGAAGTCTGACATCTATGCGTCAACTGGAGTTTTATCTTATTTGTTTCAGATCTGTAACAACAGGGTCACTAGTTTTACGTCCTGGTCTGATTGAGTTGTAGAACTTCACATTATTAAAATAAAAAAAAAAATTAAATGAACAATATTTTACAAAATAGAATCTTAGATTAAGACGTGCTTTTCTGCAATATTGGACATAGTCAGCAAGAACGTTGATATATTAATTTCGCAAACGACGTTCTATGACTGAATGCATGGAATCAGCCTCAATTTGGGTATGTCCTTTGTGGAGATTTTTTTGTAAAATCACATTACGTTTGATTGCAATATTCAAAAGTGCATTGGAAAACACATTGTTTCTATTCTGGGCTAGGTAGCCATCACTTCAAATTATAATTTTAGCTAAACTTTTATTAAGTTTTGGTAAAATCAGGGTTTCAATAAAATAAGTAAATATACTAGAAAACTCGTTTGCGACTAGAGAACCCTCAACTTCTCTTCATAAAAAGCAAAAGACTTTATTTGACTTTATATCATAAAGGGTATAAATGTATAAATGTACAAAAAATCTAGTGTCAGGACTACATCATTCTCAGAGTTTATCCGTGCCTTTTTCGCTACTAGCCTCCTCCTTTAAGACCAAATTTTCTTGGTATGTTTCATCAAATATATTTTTAGTTTTATAGCCCAAGCAGATATCGCACTGGTCTTTTTTGGGTCTGTATTGAAATAAATCCATTTCATTGAATACTGAAGGAAATGATGTAATACTAACAGCTTGTGCATTCCAGTTATTTTTATAGAAACAAAATATTTCTCTTCTGTTTTGCCATGAGGGCTCCAAATATAATTTACTAGTGGAAGCGCTACAATAATGTGACTCCATCTTAGAAAGGGACGTAAAAAAGATTTTTTAACTGGTTAATTTATTTTGTCTTTTAATTTTCTTTTTTCCTCGACGTTATCTTCAGTCATGCTATTGTTTTTATCTAACCGAAGCAATATAACATTTTCAGATATCCTTAAACTTCTTGTAAACATCTTTTTGCATACTCTCTAAGTTTTTAAAGTGTTACATTTCAAGTACTACTTATATGAATAATTTCTTCTACTATTATCGGTTGTACTTCGTTGCCTTTTCACATGTTGTATGGAAATGAGACCTAGCGCATATTGCTTCTTTTCCAAAACTTATCAGATATTTCTTCACGATATCTCTGTATGACTTTGGAACATTTTAAAACTGAGTTTGCTTCACCCAATTTGCACAAACATCCATTTATCATTTCTTTTCAAGGTTTTTTTAATATTATAGTTCCACTTATTGTTTACCTCTTTTTTGCTCTGGTAAGCCCTACCAAATTCCCTGTTCTTTTTATTTTGCATCTTCCTTTAGATAAATACGTCTTTTTTTTCTGGGTGTTCCTTCATTGTTTTTTTACACGTCTTCCAGAGTGCCAGTTTCATTTCTAATTTGTTCTCTTACCTCTCTAGGATTCTAATTTTCAGAAGGTTCATCATTAGTACTTTCAGAATGCCTCTTAGGTACGTATTCATTAGATTGATCCATGACAGTATCATTCTCATAATCTACGGCTTGTGTTAATATTTGGTTTTCCTGAAAACTGCCAATTTTTTCTTAAGTTTCGATTGCCTTATTTTCAGTCTCTATCTTCAAAATATCCCGTTCTTTGCTTGTCATTTCTATCTTCACTCTCTAGACCTGTTTTACCTACTGTTTCCAGGCCAATTACCGCATTGTCACCCTCAATTACTACTTACTTATTACTAATAATAAAAGTAAGTATGTGACTGTGTAATATACCCTTACAAACCATTGAAAGTAAACACGTTGGTTATTTTAATTTTTTCGATAAACCAAAATTCATATCTTACACGGAAAATCCAGCTGCCTCAGAATTATCTAACCTTTGTAAGGAAGCATCTTCTAGCACAACGCACTCTTCAATGACCTTAGTGCTGTCTATATTATTACATTGATTATTTGTTTCATTCAAATTTAAAACCAAAGTATTTTCTTTCCCCTTGACATGATTGAAATCTACAGAAAAAAACGGATTAATTTATTGAACGTATTTGAAACAGAGTACACCGTAACAATATTGAGTTACACAGTTTTTATATTCGTAAAACATAAAAAATGTGTAACTACAGTGTGTTTTTCAAACAAATATTTACCTGGATTGAATTATGGGTTGGTTCTCATTTTTAGTTTTAAACTATTACCGATGCCCTTACCTTACACTTGTTTTGTGTAAAAAATTTACAGAAAATGCGACCTAAAGCGTAACATCAAACAGGCAGGTTAGAGTAACATGTGAACTAGATATTTTATTTACAAATAGCAGCTGACTGGAGTAAGGTAGATTTCTATTTCTAAAATTACATAAATCCCAATTTTTTGGGATATACACTAATTTTTACAGCTTTTGCTTTATGCTAATAGATGGCAATGAAATCCGAAATTCGACACACTTTATGGGTTTCGCCAACGATATGTAGCATGATGCATCTCTAGCGCCCTCTGTTGCACTACTTGATGTATATTTCTTTCTTTGTGCCGTTTTCTGTGTTTTTTAATTTCACTGTTATCATTATAATGCCCTTATTTCATTTTTCAGTTCTTGTTATATGGTATAGTTTCTGGGGTTATAGTTTCTGAGACTAAAGCAAGACCCAAGATATTTTGTAATTTAAGTCTCAGTGTATGCTATCTAGGATATTCAAACATTGTATGTTATAAACAATCTTCCTCGTAGCAGTACAGACAGGTTCTATCTTCTGTTATTTTGTTTTGAAAGTATATTTCTTGAAGGACCAATAGACTAAGAGGATCTGCTTTAGAAAGTAATTTTCCTGTGGGTGCATTTCATCTACTCTACTCTACTAATGGTATTGTCCCACCTAATGTGCCTTGTTCTCATTGATGGTATTTTTTCTTCCTCCTTGACCCTACTGTCAACCAACTGATCGTGTGTTATGAAGCTGTTTTATTTTCACTATCAGAATGTCACGGTGGATATTTCTGGTAATTATGCTGCAAGCTTACAGCTGAAACGATTCTATGTATAAGCCTATGCTGCTCTAAGGAGTATTTTTCTTTGTCTTCTCAAGACCATCTCTTTGTATCTTTTAAATTTAATTACTAAACCGCTGCATTAAGTGGTGTCGTTTTTAGAATATTTGGTCCTCCAGTATATGGTATTTGGTTGCCTTTTTAATATATTCGCTGAAACATATCTTAAAATCTATTCAAACTCTAAGGTGTTTGATTGCTTTAGATGAAGTCATTGTTGTATTGCTTGGTTAGAACATATTAACATATTTCCAAAGACTATTGCAGAAAGCTCCTCACTGAAGAAATTTTTGAGACTTTTTCGACTAAGAGTATGCCAATTACTAATAACGACCGTTTAACATAGCCCCTTCAACAATATTTAATTAGCAATAATATCATTACAAATTATTTCTAATTTTACAACAGATTACCTCAATCAGAAAAACAACCAGAGTCCCACAGTATACCCGGTGTACCAGCAAAACCAATTAGAACTAGAAAGCCATCCAACACAACACGCCAAAGTTTTCGTCACCCCTCAGTCAGATAATTTCGCCGTACAACAAAATCATCATCACGTGACAGTAGAATCGAAGGTAAAGAAACAACGAGTGCCATCTCAGTCCAACGTCATGTCCAAAAGGAAGTCTGACGTGTCCAGTCAGGAAGAACAATTTTATAAGGCAGCTGAAATAACGTATGATTCCTTCTATAGTCCAATTTTGGAGAAGATTGATGCTGTTTTGAACGAATTACAGTTTACTGAGGAACCTTGCAGGGAAAGACTGATTTGTAGTATGTACAAAAATCCTGTAAGGTTTAGTCCTCATAGTAATCTTGTTTCTGCTGAACTTAGTCGGTGAGTAGTAGTAGTAGTACTTAAGTTATTATTCTAAATAATTCAATAAATTTTCTTATTATTTTACTTAAAAATTGTATAATCGTGATTTTTGAGTTCTTCTTTTCAAAAGCAATGATTTTTTCAATGCCTATTATTAAAATTAAAAATTTTGGAAGATCGAAAAGATACTGAGATGTGTTCAATGGTTCCCCCATTATAAAATTTATTAATTTTTTTATCAACTTTTTGGTCAACTTTTTTGAAATTTTTTTTTTTGACTATCTTTTTTTTTTCGACTTGTAATTTTAATTGTCTCACCCTTGAATATTTTTTTAAAGAAATATCACAATATTTGGTAAATATCTCGGCATCTGTTTGAAGTAGGAAGGTGCGGTTTACGGCGTGGGATTTGTCTTTAAAAATATTGCGCTATCTTTAGTTTTGGAAAATCTAAAAGACACTGAGATGTGTCCTTTGAACATTTTTTTGTTATCTTGTTTATTAATTCATATTTTTTCGACTTTAAATTTTCAAGATGATTTTTTTTATTGACACTGAAATGTGCCCAATGGTTCCACCACTTTGAATATTTTTTAAAAGAAATATCACATATCATAAATTATGAAATCACGACCGTGCAGAGTTGTATAATCATCAGAATAGTAGAGGAATGTAGGAAACATGGAGAAACGATAATTAAAGTTGGCGATTCTTTACAGAAATTTGGTAACAAATGTGCTTTCAGCGACATATTAAATACTTTTGTGCAACTAATACTCAGTCGGTAATGTAGAAAGCTGCAATGCTATTTTAATTTGAAAATTGGCTTTTGAATTTACTTCGACACCATAAATGTTCTTTTATAACTTTTGTTCTCTAAGTTGAGATGTGTTTTTTTTTATTTGTAATCAATTAAACATTTATTTTTGTTTCACGTTAAACGATAGTAGATTAGGACTAATGTCGTTTTTATACAGGGTGTCCTAAATAAGGGTGATCGATTTTAAATGTAAATGCACAGCTTATTAATTGCTCTAAAGAGATGGGGTTTTCACTTATTGCTTTAGTTTATCCAAAAGTTATTTTTCAAGTTTGTTCATATTTTATCACATTACCACTAATGTTGGTCAACTTGAATGAAAAAAAATTGTATTATTTTAAATGGAACACCCTGTATATTTGGATGGCATTTAAAAGAGAGATTCATCTACTTTTTAAAAATGTATAGTTTGATATCTTTTCTTTTCTTAAAAACACAGATTTTCGAGTTTTTAAGTAACACTGCTGTTTTCTTTATTTAAGAACTGACATTAAATAAAATTAACAAAAAGAATTTGTTCAGTAACAAAACATAACATAAATTTAATATAGATTACGAAACAATTATTAATAATGAAGGATGTAAAAGATACAACAAATGTTGTATGTGTCTATTTATACCCTCCTCTTCAATACACATGCGTAATTGAAATTGAAATTGAAAAATAACCGAACATTACCATTTGGTCTATCTCTTTGAAATTCAATAAAAGTACATACATCTGTCTATTTCATAGGAGAGTAAAACACTCGTAGGCAGATTTATTTGAACATAATTATTTGATGCATAGTAAAATAAATCAACTCTTGCTATGACAAGTTGACAACAAAATCAACAAATTTGACAATTCATAAAAACAGAAGTAATTTAATTTACTGTCACTTACAAAATGATTTATTCAGTAACTGAAAAAGCTCATTCTGTGTAAATTTATGCAGAAACTAAATCTATCTCTCGAACAAGAAATATTCAGAAGAAAATTTGGTAAAAATCCCCCTTCTGTAAATATTATTAAAAAGTGGCATGTACAATTTAGCGAAACTGGTTGCATTACGCACCTAAAAAAATTAAGAAACGCTGATGCTCTTTTTGAAAAGTTGTTGTCTATTAATAAAGTGCTGCAAACTAACAGTTACAGAATTTCGATTAGAAGGATTGCTGGAATTTTAGACATTTCCAAAAGTGACTTGCAAAATTTTAAAACTGAATCCATATAAAATTCAGACCTACCAAAAATTGTACTAAGGGTATGCGAGACTTTACTAGATTTATTCAGGAATGAACCTAATACGTTATTAATCATGTCTGATAAAGCAACCTTTAACATTAGTGGAATGTGTAACAAACAAAATTGCAGAATATGGGGTTCTGAAAACCCCACTTCTTTTAACGAATTTGAAAGAGATAGTCTAAAAGTTAACGTTTGGTGTGGGTTGTCCCCTAGAAAAATCTATGATCCTTTTTTCTTTACGGAACTAACTGTGACAGGTACAAATTACACGGATATGTTGGAACAGTTTTTTTATCCACAATTAGTTCAAGATAGAATTAGATTCAAGTTGACCAATATTAATGGATCACCCTGTATTGATGTGATAAAATGTGAACAAAATTTAAAAAAACCTTTTGGATAAACGAAATCAATTAGTGAAAACCCCATCTCTTTAGAGCAATTAATAAGCTGTGCATTTACATTTAAAATCGATCACTCTTATTTGGAACACCCTGTATTATATTTTAAAAACTGGTTGTAGTAAGTTGATATAACACTTTATTACTAAAGTCAATACTAGGCTAATATAAGAAGATAAAAATATTAACAGGTGAAATTTTATACTTTTCTTGGTGTTTTTCGTTAAATATCTTCTGAATCATAATGTATACGATTTACAAACAATATACTTTTTAATATGATTTAATGTCTAATTTTATTAACATGCAATAATAAATAGATAACATTTTAATGAAAACAGCATATAGGGTCTTCCAACTTTTTAACTATCCCTGTGTATAATATTTTATTTAATTTAAACGAGGATCTAAATTCCATTTTAAGTATTTTATGACTTACCCTGTAATAAATATATATTTATCGGTTAAGTTCAACTGGAAACATAGTTTGATATTAGTAAAGCATTATTCCTAAAAAATATCTATAAAAATAATGCTTTTTTAAGAGGTGTGGCATTTTTAAAGCCTATGGAAGATAGAGTACTTCAAACTTTAGAAATTTAATCAATTTTACTGTATATAGTCCTTACTTGATTATTTACTAATTCAGTCTAGGTACCTATTTTTAATAATTTCTAGATCAAACATTTCACTATTTGAAAACAAATGACGAACACGATCCTGTCCACAGGATTTGCACATTTAAAACACGAAATTAAGTATTTCTAGCGACGACAAGAAAGTAAATATTCGTTAAGAAGGTCGACATCACTTCCAAGATACTTTTACTACCGCTTATCGCGTTTAATTTGTTATTCTTAGTGCCCTACAAACTTTTGTTTTAAATTTTATCTATTTTAACATTAACTACTAGTATCTGAGGAAGCTCTAAATAGCAATTACGCGTTAAAAGAAAAAAAAATGGTTCAAAAACGAGGTTAACAATAATTTTATCTTCCACCGTAATGTAATTTTACTTTGCGATGTTTACTTGGATTTTTTTCTCTTAAAATTGAAGTACTGTTAACGTTTTAGTATAATTATTGGTTTGTAGCATTTTTTTTGCAGACATGGTTGTGACCAACTTACCGAGATTAAAAAATAATAGTAATACATCAAGGGATTGAAGTGGCGATAAGTTTGTAGCCCTATCGGAGGGAGGACTAAAATTCGTCCAGGGATAAAAAGACACTTCCAACCCGTTGTTTATACGCTATTTTATGCACTTTAGTAAAAAAAAAAAAACAAAAAAATAATGAGAATTAACTGACGATGTCAGTGTAAGGTTCTTATAGTGTTGATGTATATTGTATTTTGTACTGTACTTTTGGTTATATAATAGAGGTATGTTGTACTTTTAATTCCTAAAAAGTAAAAGTGAATTGTATTAAATGTATTATAATTTTCTTTTTAGCAAATACTTAAATGTAAGAAAAATAATAAAAAATGTACCGTACCAGTACCATGAACACAAAGAGTAGTTACCATAAAAAGATTCTCTTATTAGAAGATTTTAATATTGTTTTCCATATATCCTGCAAGATAAACTCTTACTCAACTTCCCAAGTTTCGCTACTAAACAACTTCTCAGAAGTTTTTGATCTCACTCAGTACAACAACATAGTTAATGATCATGGTAGAATATTAGATCTAATACTGTATAATGATATATGTATTGATCCTTTATTAAATGAGGATTCACATCATCCCGCAATAATTTTTAGCTGTAATTTAAATGTGAGTTTCAACATCAAAAATAACTTTAACAAATCTTATCACAATGCTTATAATTTTCGTAAAGCTAATTTTCCTGAACTATATAAAAAAATACAGAATATTGACTAGAGCTTTTTAGAAGTATTTAAAAACGTAGACGATGCCACAAATTATTTCTATGGTAAGCTCTATAACATCTTTGATAAATATGTCCCAAAATATAAGCTATCTAAAAAGAAAAATTATCCTCCTTGGTTCAATAGGCAAATAATTAATAAAATCAATCAAAAATCGAAGTGTCATACTAAGTATCTGCAAAACAATGATCCTTGTGCTTATAGTGAACGTTTAAGGCGTGAAATTATATAAATGTAAAATAAACGAAGCATATAGGAAATGTCAGCTCTATTGAAAATAATCTAAAGATTAATGTTAATAAATTTTGGAATTTTGTTAATAATAAAAGAGGAAAATCACGTATAGACACACCGGAAACTATCCTAAATGCTTTTGCTGGCTTTTTTGTACGCTCATATGGTCCATCATCAGTTCTTCAGTCACATTATACTTCGGTCTATAACAACACATAAAAACGTTAAATTAATGAGAGCTTTACATCACATTATTACATTGTAACTCTCATTTTTACTCTTGTTTTCATCTGTAGGATGGACTCATAAACGTCTAAGCCCAGAGTAGGGATGTTTACTTTTGTGATGATACAATGTAGACGTTGCGTTGATGTTACAGTGCTACCTTGTTACGTTATTCAACGTTATTGGAAGTTCCCAAAAATTATGTCTTTTTATCA